AGACTTAATTTAGCTCTGCAGAGCTGCATTGACTTATCTTTTGGGACTCTTAACGTGCCCTATCATTTTGCTTTCAAGGCAAAACAAAAGTCGGTTTGAATGTTTCAAATAGTTATAATAGCCTGGAAGTTGAATGCGCCCATTATTCTCAAGATGTCAGATAGAGGCCATCTAGTCTAATTATATCCTTTAATTAGTGTGTTTAAAACAATAGCCTCTCTCTTAATCTATAATTTAAAGAGTGAACCTGCCAGGTGACTTCAGTCGTGCTTAAAACATAGGGCCTGACTCATAGCAGAGAAAATGGGTAGTTTCCAGGCTGTCCACATGGGCTTGGTGAAGCAAATGCCAACTTTATTTCCCTTTTAACTGAATATTGCTCTTGGCTGGGGACTTTGAAAAAGCTGTTACTTCCACCTCTTCAACCAGACTGGAGAGTGGCTTATAAAGAATGGAATTTGTGACACTGTGGTTATCACAGCAGCTGTGGGTTACAGGTGTAGTGTCTGGTAAGACCATATACCTGGCCAGGTTAGTATTCTCAAATTAGTATCTTCTGATTTTTGCTGTAGAGCTTGCTATAGAATATTTAGTATTTCATTTGCCTTGGAGGTTATCTGACCTCTGGGAAATGGGTTGGTGGTATCAGCCCAGCTTGTTGTGGATATCACAGAAGCACTTCACAATTCATAGTAATTGGTACTTGCTGGTACTCTTAATAGAGAGGCAAAAGGCAGGATGGGCTATGGACAGTACCCTTTGTGGCTACCCTGCAGGCTCAACAGAGGCATGCTGGTGGGACAGTATGTGAGTGAAATCCTGCTGTACCTGTTCTGTGATTAGATAGAGGCCGTGAGCATTCAGGGCTTCAGTCTGACATCAGTCTCTTGCATGAAAACTCATTTTTTTGAAAAGTAATTTATTACCCCTGCATTCTCCACTGGCATCTAGTTCACGTCCATTACCAGTTCAAGCCTCTGGTCACCGACTTCAAGCCATCAGTAGGTCAGGACCCAGGTACATTGTGGGTACACAAAAAGAAAAGGAGTACTTGTGGCACCTTAGAGACTAACCAATTGGTTAGTCTCTAAGGTGCCACAAGTACTCCTTTTCTTTTTGCGAATACAGACTAACACGGCTGTTCCTCTGAAACCTGTGGGTACACAGGTACCTAGTGACCCTATCTCCTAGATAACTGCTTTCCTCTTTTCTCAGGTCCTTGCAGTGGTTTGACTTGAGCCAGTTTTCCTTTACTTGGCTGATATTTGTTCCCATTCTGAGCATTCTTTGGGACATCTCACCCTTATTGTGATATGGCTAGCCCTGGATGGCAGACTCCTGTTCTCTTTATTTGGGCCACAGAGATGTTTACCCATGTTCCTCACTGTGGAGTCAATGATCAGGGTTGCTTACTGTGATGGTTCTTGGGGTACCCAGGGCTGTGACACCTTGTTACCCCCTGCCTCTAGCTTGAGCGTCTTGCCTCTGATAGCTGAGTGTCAGCTCCCTAACACCACCAGCCTTTCAGTCACTCAAGCACTGTCCCCGGGGCTATGCCAGCCTTGTCTTTATTTTGCAAGTTAACAATAGGTGCAACCAAATCCACTTGAAGTATTCCCCTGTGATATCCAGCCCTGAAACTGGCTACTCACAGAAATCCTGGATCCTCTGCTCCCAAAGGAACAGTGTACTCCAATTTACCTGTGTTATCTTAAATCATTGCTCCTGTATTGTGCTCAGCACTTGTGAGCACCTATAATAAAATGAGAGTTTATTTAAGGAAAAAATAGAGGTTCCATTAGAAACGAGAGAGTGATGGGAACAGATGGTTACAATACAAAATAAAACCGTAAAAGGCAAACTAGGGCCTGCACTTATGAATAGTTGCCTTTCCTAGCTAATAAAGTAGGTTTTTCACCCCGCTTCAGTGTGTTGCAGAGCTGGCTGGCTTCCCATGAGCCAGGATCCATTCTTTCATGAAACACTCATGCTCAACAAAATGTCCCCTTAGTGAATGGATGCAGAATGTCTATTTCCAATCTGTGATACCCTGAATTACTCCTTTTAACCAATAGGGTGATCCCTGTCTGATATAATGTTCCTTTTTACCTCCAAGTGGTTTTGATGTTTATAGCTTATCTTTGACTGTTTTTCATTGACATTTCTGTGTTGTTACAACAATGGACAATTGAACAATACATTATATTATTGGCTAGCCAGGGAGGGTTGACAACTCCCTCCCACTTGAAAGGGCCATCACTGAGGCGTATGGTTCCTTTGTGACTTACTTTCACTCCAAGACCATAAGGCATAGTTTTCATTGGATAAGGCAAAGTTACCTTAAATATTAAGTGTAGACACATCTTTCAATGATAATGAATATTGATTAAGTTACATGCTTCCAATAGAGACTTCACATTGCTACCTTTGATGGATAAATACCATGAAAGTGGTGTATTAGGTGTAGTGAGTTTGTCAGGTCTGAGACAGGAGACGCTTGTAAAGAACAGTGAACCTTTTGCCAGTTGATGCCAGTGGGCCTGTGTTACATTTCTCTTTTTTCTCTTCTTGTGGAGGCTTCATGTTACTCCATGCTTCTGTTCAAGCCACTGGCCTGCTCTCAATCACTGCCTTTTCCTCCCATGCAGAAATATGCCTTGTTGGCCAGCAGGCTGGCTGGAAAGTTCAATATGTTTCCCTTCTGCTCCTCTTGCTTGTTGCCACATTCTTTTGCTCCTCCATATCTATCTCAGCTGTTGTCGTAAGCTGCTTTTTCTGATGTTTCCAATCTCTCTGCTTCATCGAGTTTCTCACAGTCACTTTTTGAGTCCTAAAGCCTCTTCCTCCAGAAAGGAAAGAAGTTTGCAATTGATAAAAATACCACCTTTTTGTTTTTTGTTCATCACACAATTCCAACATCTGCTTCCCTTGGCTCTCTCAGTATCCATTCTGTATCCTAGTTGGGTTATTTCTAGGAAGGTTGGGACTAGCCTAGTAACTTGTCTGAGAACTTTTTGGGAAACTCTTTTCTTTGTTGCCATCCCTTCCTATTTTCTCCTCATAGTTTGTTGAACCCCAGGCCTTCATACTCAGCCTCCTCTTTGCCAACAATAGCTCACAAGACCACAGATGTTCGCTCATCCATCATGTGGAATTTTCAAATAAAAATATGTAGTACTATTGCCAGTCACTGGCCACTTTCACTCCAGAATTTGTTGTTCCTTCTGTTATTGCATTGGAGTGAGCTCCTCTTTGGAAACATTGCTGTTGTCTGAACTAAGTGATAGTATAATTATCAGTGCAGAGAAATGATATGCCTTTCCCTATTCCCACCCAGGGTTTGAGGTTTCAGAGTAGCAGCCGTGTTAGTCTGTATTCACAAAAAGAAAAGGAGTACTTGTGGCACCTTAGTGACTAACAAATTTATTTGAACATAAGCTTTCGTGAGCTACAGCTCACTTCATGCATCCAATGAAGTGAGCTGTAGCTCACGGAAGCTTATGCTCAAATAGATTTGTTAGCCTCTAAGGTGCCACAAGTACTCCTTTTCTTTTTGCAACATAGAAGAGTGGCTCAGCCATTTGTCAACGCTGCGTGATAACGGCACACACACCTGTCCCTCTGAGCCTCTGCTGTTGTAATTGGCTGAATCAGTGGTGCCTCCTACAGCTTTGTTGATAGTTTCTGTATTTTTGGGTGCTTTAATAATGGCACCTGGCTTGGCATGTTCCTACAGGGAAAAGAACATGAGATGGGAGCAGCTGCTTTTCATGATTGAGTCTAATAGGAAAAGGACAGGAGAGAGATTGGAGGATTCAGTTAATATGCATCTTTTTAGGGAAGAGGGGAACCAATCTAATTTGAAAGACCTCTCCTAGTTTGATCTTTGCACTCAACCTGTTAAGTCTGCTGCTATGTGTGTAAAGATATTTAGAACAGCACCTATGATTGTTCCATCACTAAAGAGAGGGAGAGAAGAAAAATCTCCCCTCCCATCCCACTGTGGTGTTGCAGTAGGAGGCATAGGAATATTTCTTATGATTCATCAAGATGTTTTGTGTAAGGTTACTGAGAAACTTTTCAGCAGAGGAGGAGAGAGGCATTTGGAGAACAGAGAGAGGCCACCTTTCAATTCAGTTATAGCAGCACATGTAGATGACATTTCAAGGTAGGTTGAGAGAATAAATATTGAGAAAGGCGAAGTTAACATGAATCCAGAGCATTTGAATAAGTAATTCTAATTATCAGCTTTTTCTATTGCATATTTCATTGGCAGATTTCAGTGCTTTACAATGAAGGTGAGTATCACTAATCCAATTTTACCACTGGAAAACTGAGACACAGGGAAGTGAAGTGACTTGGGGTTGCTCAATGAGCCTTTGACAGAACTGGGAATAGAATGCAGGTCTCCTGGGTGCCAGGTCAGTGCTCTGTACAAACCACAAGCAGAAACATAGAAATTGGTGCAGACCTCTTGCTAGCATTCCCCAACTATTTTTTTAAATCGTGCACTTACCCTATGTATTGTGCTGTGGGCTTTGAGATCCGTGGGAGGAAATTTTAAAGGGTACCTGTAATCCATTGTAAAACTTGCTACAGTTTTTTTGCTTGCTGTTTACTAGCCAAAAGTACTGAAACTGACTACTATTAATGTTAATGTTGTGTTAAATGCATATTCATAGAAGTGGGGATGGTGTGGGAGAAATACACTTAAGTTATAGTGCCTAGAATGTATATATTTAGTGAGGCAAAATCGGAGTTAAATAAAGCACTGAAACGACTAAATCTATGCATGTGAAGACAGAGAGCTACATTATTCCTATGAAGATGTATATTGGCAGAGAAATGGTAAGGTGTGAACTTGACCTATAGCTTCAAGGTCAAGGGATTTATAATCTTACTTACTGTTCAGTAGATTGCATACTGCCTTCATTTTCACCTCAGTTTGCATCTGCACAGATGTTTAAATTGTGTGTGTGGATATCTTTTTTTCCCCTCAGGACCCCTTGTTGCTGAAGGGTAAAGTAACATTGCATCAAGTTACGGCTGGGACTGTGGTATCAAGGCAGGGAGACCAGGTGAGTGCCCTCCAATAAGGGAAAAGTGAACCTGTTGCTTAAAAATTGTTTGATATTATTACTACTCTCCCGTTATTCAAATAGTGGGTGTCCTGTCAAGAACTTAGTGTACGACTAAAGGCGGACTAGAGTTGAGGTGAGTGGCCCTGGACTGGGTTTGGGGGGTTCTGGGATCAGTTCCTCTGCCACAGGCTTCCGGTACAGGTTACCTTCACCCCTCTGTGCCTCATGCCCCCCCCTCTGTAAAATGAGAATGATAGGTGACCAACCTAACAGGGGGGTATTCTGAGGATAAACTCATTAAAACATTTCTGAAACACCCAGATACTCTGGTGACGAGGGCCATATAATCTGGATTAAAACAGGTTGGGTTGAAGAGTGCGCATCAGGCAGTCTGTGACCTAGACAACATAACCCTGTAAGGAAATACTAAAAAATTGGGTTTGTTTAGTCTGGAGAAGTGAAAACTGAGGGGGGGACATGAAAATTGACTTAAGTATATAAAAGGTTGTTATAAAGAAGAGGGTGATCAATTGTTCTCCATATCCACTGAGGAGAGGACAAGTAGTAATGCGCTTAAATTGTAGGGAGGAGGATTTGGGTCAGGCATTAGAAAAATCTTCCTAACTTATAAGACTGGAACAAATTATCTAGAGAGGTTCTGGAATCTCTGTCACTGGAGGTTTCTAAGAAGAGGTTAGACAAACACCTGTCAGGGATGGTCTAGATAATCCTTAGTCCTGCCTCAGTGTAGAGGGCTGGACTAGATGACCTATTGAGGTCCCTTCCACTCCTACATTTCTATGGTTCTGTTGCCTCTTGAATGGGGAGCTGAACAAGATCAAGAGGAATTGGTAGGCGCTTAGCCATCTCGGTGCAGAGGCTCAGAATTGCAATGCAAACACAGACAGCAGGGAAACTCCCCCCCCCCCCACCCCTTTTCTCCCTTGCATGGTATTGAGTTTTTCCTTTGTAATTAAAGAGGAGAGGAGCTCTTTTAATAGCAACAGCAATCTTAGCTACAGATTATGGGTTTTGTTTTGTTTGGAAGAGTGCATAGCTAAAGTTGCAATGTAAATTTAGCATCCTTCTCATCGGGTTTCAAGTTTATACATATATTGCACACAATTTCTTGGGAAAATATGCATTACAAATGCCCAGATAACTTGCTTACAAAATCCCAACCCTCAGTGCATTATGTATGTCACTCAGTTTTATTAGAATGCCTTCTCCTATTAATACACTATCGGACTTTTTTGCATATTAGTTCATTTTGCAACAAGCATATCATTCAGCGCATAATATTGTTCTGTAATAATACTAGGAGATTGTTTGTTTTAAAATATGTAACTGTGTGCAAATGCAAATTAAGGGAATAAATTTTTGCTAATTTCCAGTGCTAATATATTCCGTTTTGTCACAGTACAGCATTATTCAGAGTTTTGCTATTAAGTCTGTCATCTCTACCTCTTGAGGTCTCCCAATTATGGCCCCAGTCAGAAAGAGCCATTTTCAATATTGTGACTGGAACAGTTTACAGCATTAATAAATGCTTTTAATTATTCATGAATGTGCCTTATTGTATTGCCTAAGTGCTTAACGCTACATAGAGCCCCACAGCAAACACATCAGTCATTGCAGTACTGTTACAATTAATGTTGGTTTAAAATCTAGGAGGGTTTATAATGAAGGACTCTCTCTCTGTCCTTTTCAGGATGTCAACATCCAGTTTGTGATCTCGGGTTTGCTTCATGTGTACCAGCGGAAGATAGACTCTGAGGAAGAGACCTGTCTTTTCATCACCCATCCGGGGGAAATAGTAGGCCAACTAGCCGTCCTTACTGGGGAACCTCTCATTTTCACCATCAAGGCCAATCGAGACTGCACGTTCCTGTCCATTTCCAAATCCCATTTTTATGAGTGAGTTCCCCCTTTGAGTGGTGCATTGCTTTCCATTTTTACACCCACCTATAAAGCACAGGTATTTTGGACACATTTCGTCACAGAGGAGGTGAGTATGATGTGCTATTGCAAGAGCACATCGAATAGCAAACTAGATGTCTTGGGGTAGGAATTTAGGAAGTGCCACACTGGGTTAGACCTCAGATCTAATTTATTACATCTATTACAACTTCCTGTCTCCAGCAGGGTCAGTACCAATTACTTCAGAGAAAGGTGCAAGAAACTGTAATATTCAATGATGGAATAATCTGCTGCAAGCAGATTAAATGCCCACTTTTCCTCTGAACAATATTTTAACAACCTGTATTTAGTCCAGACATACCCTAGCCCTGGAATTTGGCTTTACTGATAACTCAGATAATAAGGAAAACGCCAACCTCAGCTCATGCTTACATGTTGGTAGTGTTTCTCTAAAGAGACCTCTCTGTCCTAGACATTTCACCGGAGTATCACTCCCACTTCTTTTTAACCAGAGTGGAGTTAATGAGCCTCCCCTGCTACATGATTCATAGGGTATAAGTCAGTATCTCCCTGCAGGATTACAGCACTTACTAATAGGGTAGGTCAAAAGAAGAACCCTGCTACACCTGCCCATAGGGCAGGTTTCTTCCTGGCCCCTGTTAATTGGTGGTTATCATGAGCCGTGAAGCATGAAGGTGAATATACCTTAGTGTTTTATCCCGTATAAACATCCTGTAAATGTTCTCATTATTCTATATAAACATCAATCCTGCTATGATCTCATCATCGAGGTTTTGTGACAGTGAGTTCACTCTAATAGTTCATACTAAAAAAAAACTCCTTTCATTCGTTTAAAATTAGTTGTCTTTTATTTATTTCATTATTATTTGTATTGTTGTGACCAGGACTCCAATGTGGTAGGTACTGTACAAACACAAACCCACAGACAGCTACTGCCCCAAAGAACTTACAATCTAACTATAAGTCAAGAGACAGCAGATGGCTACAGACAGACCAGTGGGGGAGCACAAAGAAACAATGAGACTTGGTCAACAGGACAGGCTGTTGTCTCAGCACACCAGCGGCCTAACCATTGTCAAGTGTTTTGTAGGGATCATAGAATCATAGAATATCAGGGTTAGAAGGGACCTCAGGAGGTCATCTAGTCCAACCCCCTGCTCAAAAGCAGGACCCATCCCCAATTAAATCATCCCAGCCAAGGCTTTGTCAAGCCCGACCTTAAAAACTTCTAAGGAAGGAGATTCCACCACCTCCCTAGGCAACGCATTCCAGTGTTTCACCACCCTCCTAGTGAAAAAGTTTTTCCTAATATCCAACCTAAACCTCCCCCACTGCAACTTGAGACCATTACTCCTTGTCCTGTCCTCTTCCACCACTGAGAATAGTCTAGAACCATCCTCTCTGGAACCACCTCTCAGGTAGTTGAAAGCAGCTATCAAATCCCCCCTCATTCTTCTCTTCCGCAGACTAAACAATCCCAGTTCCCTCAGCCTCTCCTCATAAGTCATGTGTTCCAGACCCCTAATCATTTTTGTTGCCCTTCGCTGGACTCTTTCCAATTTATCCACATCCTTCTTGTAGTGTGGGGCCCAAAACTGGACACAGTACTCCAGATGAGGCCTCACCAATGTTGAATAGAGGGGGACAATCACGTCCCTCGATCTGCTCGCTATGCCCCTACTTATACATCCCAAAATGGCATTGGCCTTCTTGGCAACAAGGGCACACTGCTGACTCATATCCAGCTTCTCGTCCACTGTCACCCCTAGGTCCTTTTCCGCAGAACTGCTGCCGAGCCATTCGGTCCCTAGTCTGTAGCTGTGCATTGGGTTCTTCCGTCCTAAGTGCAGGACCCTGCACTTATCCTTATTGAACCTCATCAGATTTCTTTTGGCCCAATCCTCCAATTTGTCTAGTTCCCTCTGTATCCTATCCCTGCCCTCCAGCGTATCTACCACTCCTCCCAGTTTAGTATCATCCGCAAATTTGCTGAGAGTGCAATCCACACCATCCTCCAGATCATTTATGAAGATATTGAACAAAACCGGCCCCAGGACCAACCCCTGGGGCACTCCACTTGACACCGGCTGCCAACTAGACATGGAGCCATTGATCACTACCCATTGAGCCCGACAATCTAGCCAACTTTCTAGCCAACTTTTCATGGTAAAGGACAGATTTGAGGAGGGTTTTGAAGGAGATAATGAATTAGTTTTGCTGGTGTTTCTGGGGAGCTCCTCCTGAGTGTGAGAGGCAGTGTGGGAGAAAACATGAAGGGGCTTGTTAGAAAATTTAACAAGTGGTGATGGAGGCTGGCATCATGGACCAACTGGAAGTTGGAGTCGAACAGAATGAGAGCTGATAGATAGGATGGGAATAGCCTGGGAAAGGCCTTAGAAGTGAAGGCAGGTAGCTTATGTTTGCTATGATGAAGGAAAGGGAATCTGTGGAGGGATGCAAAGAGAAGGGTAACATGGTTAAAGCAATGAGCTGGGAATATTATTTTTGCAGCAGCATTCTGAATAGATATGAGCGAGGCAAGATTGCATTTGTCAAGGTCAGAGAAAAGGTTGTTGCCATTATCAAGATGCAAGATGATGAGCGTTTTAGCCATGTAGCTGGATAAGAAAGGCCGTATCTCAGAAATGTTTTGCATAAAGAATCAGTAAATTTAGATATAGCCCGGATGTGAGGACCTTGAGTCGAAGATGAACCCCAAGTTATGAGCCTGAGTGACAGGCAGGATGGTGGTTTTGTCCACAGTGATTGAGAACAGCATTAGTGGAGAGGACTTGGTGGTGGGGAGATTGAGCTATTTTAGCCATGATAAGCTTGAGCTGAGCTTGAACTTTTCAATTGAGTCATGGTGAGCTTGAGCTTTCAGTTTTTAGTGGAATGTCCCCTAGTTCTTGACTGAGAGCGTGTAAGTGGGAATTTTTCTGGCTTATGTTCCCTAGACCATTCATTATTTTGCATACCTCTGCTGCCTCTTTTTATCTCCTCTCTAAACGCTCCCTATCTTTAGTCTCTCCATGCTTCTAACCAATTTTGTCTCTAGGTTCCTATTTCTGTGATATCTTATTTGGAGGTAGGGTAAAGAGAACTGAACACAATGCCCTCGGTGATAGTGCACCATCAATTTATATAATAGTTTTCCAACAGACGTTGTAGTTTCTACCCCATTCTTTATACTATATCTCCTTGTTCAAATCACGTTCAATTATATACTCCTCTGCTGTCCCTCCCCAGATAGCTGTCGTCTCCATCTCCCCTACCCTCTCTGATTTTGACACCTAACTTTTTTTATTCCTCTCCCCATAGTCCCCCCCCATCATACTTGGTGACTTCAAATTTCATGCTGATGCCCCCTCTGACCCATAAGCTGTTCCTCCTCTTTGCCTTCATTTTCTCTTTTGACTTTCAACCTCTCCTACATGCCAAAGTGGCCACTTGCTTGACCTTACCTTAGCTCAAGTGTTCCTTTCCTGATCTCTCAGGAGTGGTGACTCTCTCCAAACGCTACCCCATCACTTCTTCCTTATTGCCTCTTTCCCCTCTACTAACACTTCAGTGATCTAATCTCTTATTCTCCACCGCTCTCAACTCCTTTATTGTTCCCTCTCCTCCGCCTCCGTAGACTCCATTGTTAGTTCACTGCACTCTGCTCTCTCTACACTTGATTCCTTCACCTCTCCTTCCGCCCAAATGTCTGTTCCAAAACCCTAAACCTGCCTCATTGCCAGCTTCAGCTTTCACCACACCTGCTCTCATGTCAGTGACTGTCACTGGAGAGAGTCTCAAGACAACATGGATGTCCTCTGCTGCAAAATTGTTCTTTCTTTCTTTAGTTCTACTGTATCGCTGGCTGAACAGCACTGCCTCTCCACTGTCATTGAATCCCCAGCTCGCAATCCCTATCACATGTGCAATCTCTGACTCCTTCCTGTGCCCTCCATGCAAGATTTTTCTGATTTCCCTCCCCCATGCACCAGGAGGAGATGGGGAGGGATGATTTAGTTGGGGATTGGTCCTGCTTTGAGCAGGGGGTTGAACTAGATGACCTCCTGAGGTCCCTTCCAACCCCGATATTCTGTGATTCTTTGATAAGGGCCATCACAATTCCGCAACACTCCTTCCTCCCTCTCCCTTTCACTGGCAGATTTTGCACTTGTTTTTCTCTTTGAAACCCCTCCAGCTGCCCCGTGACCCCAGTCCTCTCTTGGCATCCCTGTTCCCTACTCACAGCCTTTTCCTCGTCCTCCTCGTTTTACCTGTCCTTGTCCTCTTGCTTCTTTCCTTCCAGTATACAAATACACTTGCCTCCACTGTCCCTAAAATATCAATCCTCAATCCCCCTGCCACTCTAGCTATTGCTGAAACTTGCTGAATGCTCCATCTACAACCACTGCCTTAAGTTCTTCTTCGAGTGATTCCACTTGTAAATTTCCATCTCTCAGTGGTACCTATTGGGGCAACTCAAGTTCCCTCTACCATAGTATGCCCTTGCAAGCCAGTATAAACGGCACAAGCGCCCCAGAACTACTTCAGTTCTGATGACTGTCATGGGTGATAAGAAGGAATTGCTTGGCTTGCATTAGCACCTGCTGTCAGTGTGCTCATGGAAATTTCTTGTAAATAGTTTTCTAGCTGATTAGTACTTAGTTATTAGAGTATTAGAGTAGAGTAGGATTAGTTTCCTTTTTGGTCAACACTTCTGGGGTTTCTGTTACATGGTCACTGGGCTTCAAGCTCTGCGTCTCTTGTGCTCGGCCAGTGCCCATGAGCAACCCACACTCAAGCTGCTTAAAGCAGTTGGGGGAAGCTCATATTCAGGTTTGTTGTCAAATTTGCAAATATTTTAAGCCAAGGACAAAAAATGCCAGAGAAGCCAAGCTAAATGTTTTGCTCATGGAGGCAGCCCTGAGATCTCTATCAGACTCTAGCCATCCTGACTTGGCACAGAGTGCTTTGGCATC